GTCTTGGACTAGAATTACTGTAGACCTGGGGAACAGTATCTCAGCTGAGCAAAGTTGGGTTTGCCTAGCCAAGATGACAGTGAGAGTATCTGAGGCCTTGCGACAGGTCCCTTACCTGGTTCTGTCCCATGGCAAGCCCTTGACAGCTGGGATGGTTGCACCATACTGTGTTCCTGGCTCCTGGCTTTATTATCTGTGCCCTAGTCTTCCCGAGAAGCCAGAAACCATCTCTGTGCTACTTCTTAGGTAGACCTTAAGCTTTACTGAGGCATCAGTGCAAACAAAGGCAGGTTGATGAAAACTAGAGAGAAGGATGCCTTTGCCCGCTCTCCTTGGCTATTAGGACTTTATTTCCAGTTCATCAAGCTAGGGAGTGTAGTCAAGCTCAGGTCTGATGGTTCCAGCCAACTGTGCCTGCCAGAAAAACAGTAGGTTCTTTAAAGGTGCTAGGCACTCTATATTACCCATCTTCTGTTGTAAACTGTATACACTCCACACTCCTGAGCCTCCTGTGTGCTGCCTCATATTTTCAATCAAATTATTACACTCCAGAAATATGCATAAGGGAAATGATTGTACACATTTTATGGTGGGTTGTTGCTTGTAGCAGTAATTGAAGTACCTTTTCCACTTATGAAAGTACTAATTTTATTTGTTTTTATTGCTTTTCTAGATGCAATTATTTATTTAGTGTGCTTTGGCTTTATTAAATTATGTTTACTATAGGAACATCATAAAAATGTATGAAAACGACACATCAGCCAAGCCAGCCTGGTGACCTGTATTGAGAAAGCTGGTGTTATTTTTCATATCCAAACGTAATGAAATAACTTAAGAATAAACAGATAATCTGCGCTAGAAAACAATGCGGTTTCAAAGTAATGCAATAAAACAACTGGACAATATGATTTCATAAACCTGGGTTCTAAAATTTACATGAGTTGGGTTTTGAGTACTTATTGGGAGACACGTGGTGTTTCTAAATGGAATCGTAACAATGTGAAATGTAATTAAGACAAAAGGAGAGAACATACATCGGGCTTTGTTGGCTGGTAAGATATGGATGACTAAGAAGCAATGTAAAGACTTTTGGTGTCAAAAGGCAAGCAGAGACTCCATCCCTACAAATGCGCTTAAGCTTGAACTTGAGAAATGGCTAGACACTTGTGCAGATAAATTGCAAGTGTCCTGGGCGGGATATGCCAGCACTGAGTTCTTCGTCTGCCCTTTGGCCTCTTGCTTCCAGTCCTCTTGGTGTTCTGTCTCAAAAGAACAGAGGCTCTCTGCTTTGAGAAACTTCATTCCTTGTCAACAGTTTGTTTATCCTGGACTTCCATAAGATAAAAAGGATAGAGGCATATAGGCTTTGTTTGTTTGTTTGTTTTTAATGACTGTAATACAAAAATAACAACAAAACAAAAGCTGAAAACCCAAAACTCCAATCTAACACCTAGGTTAGAAACACGGAGTTGCTGAAATGAAAACAGTGATATGACTCTGAATTAGTGACTACTTATCTAATTACAAATTTAAATTAATCAATGTGTCTAAATTAATCAGGTATGCCTATTGTAATCCCCAAAAGGTACTAAGCAAAGACTATATAATAAAGTATGAGTCACCCCAGGAACCCAGGTTACATTCCTTGAATCCATGGCTTTTGAGTTCTCCAGTTGCTGATTCCAAGGGTAGCACATACACACACGTGCATACATATATGCAAACACGCATGTTTTCACAAATGACACTTCATACAGACCATGTGCAGCTCCATTGGTTTTGAATGATTTTTGATGTCTGGGTCAAAACAAACCCCAGGTCTTGCACATACTTGGCAAACAAGTCTATGGCTGAGCTAGCTACACCCCAGACCCTAGCTAAATGGATGTCTAAGTGTATACCATGGTATGTTCCCTTCTACAAATGCTCAGGTTTCTACTGAAGAACTTGAAGCTCCACTCTGCTCTGCTCTGCTCTCCTCTCCTCTCCTCTCCTCTCCTCCCCTCTCTCCTCCCCTTCTAACTTCCCCTTACCTTCCCTCCCCTCCCCTCTCTCTTTCTGTCTCTTTCTCCCTCCTTCCCTCTCTCCCTTGTCCCAAAGAATAATCTCATCAGGAATATATGAGAGGATATGATACTTTGGGCAACTTAAAAGAAAGAGTTTGGAAATTTAAAGACAAAAAGTTACACTTAGCATGATTGGAATCCCAGCACCCAGGGAAACAGAGGCAGGCAGATCTCTGTGAGTTCAATGTCAGCCTGGTCTTAAAAGCAAGTCCAGGACAGCCAAGGCTCCACAGAGAAACCCTGTCTCAAACAAACAAAGACAAACAACAACAAAAAAAATGACGCTTAAGAGTGAATTACAATTTTGACTTTCAGTAACAGTGATTGTGTCAGCATGCATAAACTCCATGTAAGCCAGACCAAATCTAAGCATGAAGAGAGGAGGTGAACATGAAGTTACACCCCTAGGCAAGGAGCTATTGACAATTGACAGCTGCTGGAAAGGGGACAGCGAGTTTTAAGAACATTGTCACTTACAGTTTGACCACACTCCACTGAAAGGCCACACATTCAAGAACATATGGGACTTGGTGGAGGTTAAAAACAAAAACAAAAACCAAAAAACACAAAATTGGGTAGGTAGTGAAGAGGGGGATCAGGGAGGAGTTGAAGTGGGGTGAATGTGATAAAACACATTGTATGGAGTTCTCGGAACTAAGGACAAACAAAACTATGGGTCTCTTGGCATGGGCGAGCTTGTTCACTTCGTCTGTGCAAGAGCTGCTGTGCTTCCTCTCCTGGAGTCACTGGCACCCTCTACCATCCTCGGCATTGTTTCCTAGAGGGTTGTTGGTCTGGATCTTTGCTGAACAGTAAGTCCCGTAGGCATGAGCTGCAAACATCTTGCTGTTCTGGATTGGTCTTTCACTCAGAGAATATTTCACCATCTAGAGTAGAACAATACATCATTTGTAAAAAAACATCTTACTCCTAAGATCATTTTCCTAAAACTTCTCTAAATGTTTTTTTTTTTTCAATAGTGTTAGGAGTTTACATATCTTATTTGGGGTGACATAGGGTGGGATTTTATTTTATTTTTTTCCAAATATTCCAATAGCATTACTGAAAGATGATACCTCAGTTAATGGCTGTCATCTCTGGCCAGCCCCACTGATATACTTGTCTGCTCATCTGCCAACATTACCGTATTTATATTAGGTCAGTTGGATAATTTTAATATCACCAGACTTGGATTGCCAATTACTTATTATTTTAACATCTCTTAGTCATATTAAGAAAACATACAGCTGTGACTATGACATACAAAGACTGATCTTGTCAACAGTGGTTTTTTTAATGTAATCGAATGCCTTCCCAGTATATATAGGGGTAATCATGAGGTTTCTTTCTTTTGATCTTTTACTGTTATAAATCATTCAAAAGTACTGAACCATATTTATGTCCAGAATAAAATTCACTTGAGTATGATTACCTATCCCTTACATACCTCTTCATCCTCCTGAATAAATCTGAATTAAAATGTGTATGAACACAAGGTTTGTTCTAAAACCCTTCAAAGTTTTCTTCCTTGTTGTTCTCTGATTAGCTTAATTCCAATGATGTTCCTTGGCTCTTCCTTCAGAAATGCCCTGCCAACAGCTCTCCTGCTGCTGCGAAGATGCAGCCCTTCCTTGCTGCCCCTTTGAAGGCATTTAGCAAATTCATATTTCCTACACTTAGCATTTGTCATTTTTATTTTTCTGGGACATTATCATCTTACCCTGTGTTTCAATTTGTGTTTTTAGTGTGTTGAGCCAAGCAGTTTACCGGTGTGTAAAATTTCCTTCATTTATATCTGGTTACCTTTTTTGTTTCATGTTTTATTAGTTCTTGCTTCTTATATTTTTTCTTTTTTATAGTGATCAGTTTTTCAGTCTATGCACATGATGGGTACTTTCTAAGCACCTGATTTTAGAAATTTTTGTTTGTTTTCTTGTTTTTGCTGCTTTTGTCCTTATTATTTTGTGTGGGGATTTTTTTTTTTTTGTCGTTATTGTTTCTTATTTTGTTCATTTCCTAACTTTTTGAATTTGATGCTTGTGGTGGTTTGAATAGGTATGGCTTCTGCATACTCACGTGTTTGAATGTTTGGGAGTGGTCTTATTAGGAGATGTGGCCTTGTTGGAGGAAGTGTGTCACTATGAGGTTGGGCTTGGGGTCTTATATGCTCAGTCTATACCCAGTGTAGCTCACAGTCACTTCTGCTGCCTGTGGATCAAGATGTAGAACTCTCAGCTCCTTCTCCAGCACCATGCCTGCATGCCACCACGCTTCTCACCACTACGATAATGGACTAACCCTCTGAAATTGTAAGCCAGCCCCAAGTAAGTGGTTTCCGTAAGAAGCCTGCCAAGGTCATGGTGTCTCTTCACAGCAATAGAAACTCAAACTTAGACAGTGCTGGACCCTCTTTGTATTATTAAATAATAAAGCACTTAAACTAGAATTCTTCATGACTGCTCCTCTCTAAGTACACATGTAGAAAGAAATACGTTTGTTCTTCATTACTATTTTCTAGATACTCTGAATTTTTAGTTATGTAATTACATCATTCACAAATTTTCTAAGCTTGTTATTAATTGTCGGTAAGCTTGTTTCTGTGTCCTGTACATTTTCTTCTGATCAGTGTTATTAGTCTGTTTTGCTTTCCGGAATTAGGTATTCTCTGTGAGCTAGAGTCCTCGGCTTTTGTGAGTACTTGATGCCAACGTCAACTCATTGCAGTGTCTCTGGCAGAGCACGGTGTTATACATGGGGCAGTGAGCTGCATCTTCTTAAGTTACTCAGTTGTACATATGCTTTTATTCACTTTTGCCTACAATTTCCTTTATTACCCTATAAATACTGTGAAAAGCATGTGCTTGGTAAATGGCGGATAATTGGCTGTGGTCAGCTTGAATTGTGTCTTGTTTTTGTTTTTGTGTTTCTGTATAGCCAAAGATCACCGAGGAAAACTTGACCTATGCCGAGCTGGAGCTCATCAAACCACACCGGGCTGCCAAAGGCGTCCCCACCAACACCGTCTATGCACAGATACTTTTCGAGGAGAACCAGCTGTAGTGACACCTCCTCTCTGGCAGTCACCTGTGCTCCTGGTTATTTATGACACTCAGAAACAAACGCCCTATTTTTGTATTTTCACCTGTGCCTTCGGCATGGTGGGGAGGCCCTTCCCACAGCATTCTGATGTCTTCTAAGAGGTACGCACTCCCCAGGAAAGAAACTCTTGCCATGTCTCCTAAGACAAGAGGTCCCTGGACTGATCAGGGGGTACGAGGACCCTGCTTCCGAGGGCATCTGCTGAGCCAACCCTTATCACCTTCTTCTCCTCTTCTTGAGTCTTAATTTGTTGGGAAAAAAATTAAATCTTAATTTTGATCATCTACCCACGCCATGTCTAAAACATCAAGCACTCCATTTATAGCCACAAGAAATGCCTATAGAGACCACAAAGAGAGGCAGTTCTCTGAGGTTCAGATGGTAATGCTGGGGCGCCCAGAGCACAGCAAGCCCCTGGTGGTGATGGCAAGCAGCCACTTAGGGTGGCATCCATAGTTTTTAATAGATGCTCCGAAGCTGGCCACGTAATGACAGGAGAGCTGGTGTCTAAGGTCTGTCTCAGAAAATTGTAGTACTTCTCTTTAGACCCATCCTTCCCGGCGGCTGTAGGTCCACAAAGAGCACCACTGTGAAGTGCTTATCCTCTTTTGGCAGAGTGGTAGGAAAACATTGTTTTTCTTCTCTAAAGACTGGAGTGTGGTTCCAGTGGGTACATCATGTAAGTGAACAAAGTGTGCCAAGCTCAGTCAACTCTTGCTCAAGGGAGGGCAGAGCCTTTCACCATTCCCTCAACATAGGAATGGAAGTATGAGCCATGCTGGAAAACTGTTCAGGAGAACTCAGCTCCTGACAACTGCTTTGTCCATCTCAGCCTCGGATGCTAACTCTGATGGTCTCAGGTAGATGTCGGAGGACTGTGGGGCATAAGTCCACGGGGAAGTTGCTCTGCAGACCTATACAATGTACAAAGATGTCGGACTCCATGAAAGTAGCCCCACTCTGCGAGAGACAGAGAGACACCCTGGCATCCGCAGTGCCATTAAGGATGCTTGTTGACTTCTGTGTACTCTGGTCGCCACTTACTACACTCTATAAACGTTGTTTGGCTATGTAATTTACCGTGTATATATGATAAATTATCTATTTTAAACACAGCTGGGGTGTGTGTTGTCCCTTCTATGTCCCTGTGGGACTTACTTGAGTTTCTTAACCCCTAATCACCTTGGATTTTCTGTATGTTTAAAAAAAAAGTCCCTCCTAGGATTCTTGAGGGTTAAATGGAACAATAAACATTGCAAGATTCTGGAAACTATAAGCCAGTTCACAAATAATCTCTCTTGACAGTCATGCTAAAGCCACTTTGCACTTTAAAACCAATGAAGCAAGCAAACTTTTCTGTTCACAGTGTGTGCGTTTGAACCCAGGGCTTTGCACATGGTCTAGCGGGCTCTCTACCTCTAAGCTGTGTTCCTAAGCCTGTAGCAGCTTTTACAAGCAAATTTTTACTTGCAAACTTAGTCCTATAGCAATAACATTTGCACATATCCAGGGCTCCTTGTCAATATTTCTTGTGTTTATTGTACAGTGTCCAAAGGGAGCAGCTATTTTTTTTCCTATAAAAACTGGTGTGGAAGTCCACCTTCTTTGATAACACCTGCGTCTTGCTCCTCTTTCTGTGCCTGAACATGGCTTTTGAAGAAGAAAGTCCACTTAGGATAAGGTACTAGAACTTTCCAGAGCATCGTCTTTGGAAGGTGAAAACCACAAATACTGATACCATGCTTACCCTAGAGAATACTGCATTTTATCACAACAGGGTTCTAGCAGGTGGACGTGTAGTGTTTTAAGGATATAGTGATTTCCTGATTTGCACACATAGCCATATAGGTAGACAAGGACACTGAGGTGCCAGTTAGGAGTAGAGAGTGGGGCTTAGAGGCATCACACATGGACAGGAACACATTCAACCGAAAACAGTACATGCTTTTAAGAACCATCTAGAAGCTGTAACTTTTACAGATTCACCTTCGCATTTTCCTCTCAAGTTCTGGTCCACACTAAGTTGTGGAAATGGGGTACTTACTGAACATTTTCCTTTAGGGGAGCAAAAGCCTCACAGCATCCCTTTTTGTCTGCCTTTCCCCAAGGAGACTGCACAACACTCTCAGAGCAGTAGAAATGAGCTATTTGCACCTGGTGCTTATTTGAAGTGACATATTTTGGCATTCTTGCTTAGAAAATGGGTCTAGTCACTCATCCTCTACCAAATAGGCCACTAACCATGAATTGACATTTCTTAAGCTAAGTGAGGGAAAACATCCATTAACTAGAAAGTGCAGAGAGTTCTTGCTACGAGGCATCAGTAGGAGCAATGATGTAATCACTGAGTAATCCCCCCCCCCAAAAAAAAAAAAACAGTTGCTTCCACATTCAATGCAATTAAAGCAAATGTGGACCATTGTTTGGGAGTAATGGCTTCTCAGAGATGCAGTGCAGATAGGCTCAGATTTAGGGATGAATTTTGGCCTAGGCCACAAATGACAAGGAATCTTTATAGGCAGCCTGAAAGGAGAGCAAAGTGAAGCTCACATGAAAATGTGTTGTAGTCAAAGCCACCAGCCCTGAGCTGAGTCAGTACTGGCATGGGGAGAGCTGGGGTTCCGTTAGGATCCCCGCTTCACCACGGCACTGAAGTGCTTCAGTTCTCAGGGAAAAAACACCCACGCTGGGCCTGTCACCTCTTGATAGGCATGAAAAGGACATAGGATACTTCTAGTTTTTAATGCATAATTATGTTAGTTGGCCAAAGACTGACTTTTAAAGATTATTCATGCTCATGTCTATCACTCTGATCTGCATGACCATACCTTCATGGGCCAAGAATGGGGCTCCTGCCTCTGCCCATAAACATGGTCCAAAGGGTGTACATGCTCCATCTCAGCCAGCCAGTCTTTGTGAGAAAGAAACTGTCTTTTCCTTTTGAGGATAACAGACTGAGGTCCATGGAGGCTGAGAGTGAAAGGGGTAAAAATGTCCTCTAAGCACACAATCTTACTCAGGTCACCTAAATCCCCCAGACCTTTCTCTTTTTTCTTTTAAACACAAAGTGCCTTATCACTCTACTATTTGAATCCACATTCTGCCCTGTCTAGACACATAGCAATGGAAATAATTCTGAAAGGTTGCATGGGTCGCACTTTCCTTCAGATCAGGAAGACAGAAAAATACAAGGCACGCCCTTCCTCAAAGAGCCCTGTTACCTCTCTCTCACCCAATGGCGGTACAGCCATCCTTTGTTCTTCAGTTTGTTTCTAGGACCCCAATGGCTATCCAAAGTGACAATGTTTGTCCTTTATATAAAACATAAAAAATATAACACCTGCACATAGCCTATTCACAACCAGTGAATACTGAAATCATTTCTAGATTACCTCTAGCTCCTAATACAGTATAAATGCTATAAAAAAAATCACATAGGGAATAATGACCAGAAAAAAAAAGAGTGTGCATATTCAGCACCAACATTTTTAAAAACGGTTTCAATCCGTAAGTGGCTGAATCATGTGTGGGTGTGGAAGGTAGGCTGTCCTTTGTGAACTTCCACTGTTCTTTGTCCCCTGCCTTTTAGGTGACATCCTTCTCATGGAGAATCTCAGCACTAATGTTCTCCCTAAGGAAGGGACCCTCGGGTTTAGAGTAGGGATGCCACGTCTGGAACAGTACTGAGGAGTTGACTTAAATGCGCTAGGTCAGGAGTATTGGAGGACACTTTATCTGTTGGCTCTGAGTTTTAAGATGGTTCCTTTAAAATCAGATGCTTTTCCAGTCCTCCTGACTTAGGCAACTTAGGTAACCAGCTCTGTCCCTTGGGGCCAGCCCTTTTTCAAGGCCAAGTGATGACATGGCAGGGATGATGACCCTAGCTTACCCATACCCTAATCCTCATGTGTGGAGTGGAAGCTGTTCCTTGTAAGAGCAAAGAAAGCAGAGATTTACAGCCCTGGAGCAAGGTCTCATTGATCTTCTTCTCCAGCGGAATGTGCAGGTGGTTGGGCCTTAGGTCAACGCTCTGTAGAGTGCACAGTCCCTTGCAGCCTTGGTAAACCGCAGATCCTGGTTTGGGAGTTCTGAAACAGGACCTGAGATTACGAGTTTCTCAGTATATCCAAGAGATATTGAGCCCAGGGCCACACTGAGTAACAAGGACGTTAAGTTCTTGTAACAGAAAAGTGGATCCTGAGCTCCTTGGGGGTTGAGGTGTCCCCACAGTGTTAAAACAAAGCTGGCTCTCGGACCATGGGCAAAATCCTCAGGGAGATGCCACCCAATGAAGAAGAAAGGTGGCCACACCTGAATGGTGAAAAGTGTCTGGCATGACAGGTCCAGGGCAGGTGAGGAAGCCAGAGGAGATGGGAGATGAGTGAACAAGCAGAGGACAGGGCAGCCAGGAGACTCTCTGAATTCCTCTTCTCAGATGGGATCAGGGTGGGAACTCGATACAAAGTGAGGTTGGGCTTGTGTCTTGGCTCATTCTGAACAATTCTCTCTCTTTTTATTTTTAAATGTGTTGCCCCAGGGGGATAATTTCTATAGATTCACAAGGCTTTGACACAGAGCTGTGTCTGGCTTACCTAGTGTTTCTTTCCCGGCGCCACCTGCATCATTTTGCATCACGATTTGGATGGGGGACTCTTAATGAATGCACGAGGTGGGATGTGAGAGGTGGTGTGGCTGGCGAGGATGACATGGTACCTGCTTTTTAATAAACGCAGCTCGATTAGTGCCATGCCGAGTCGGTGTCTGTCTGGTTGTTAAATGTTCACGCAGCACACCTTATAGCTTTAAATGGAATTAGAGGTGTTTACAGCTTCGGTTATAGGCACCTTGTTCTTCCACATTAAACTTTATGGTGAGTGTCCTCCGTTAGCAAACAGGAGAAAAGCTCATTAGCCTCTGTCTGTGCGGAGGCTGCTCCGCTGCTGAAGGAGATGCAGAGGTTTCCTCGTCGCAGCTTGCAGCCGCTGCAGACAGCTGGGTGGAAGTCATCCGGATGTTGGATGAGGATGAGAACCTTGGACTCCTGGGTTTAGGGTTGTCTTAGAGGATCCACCGGCAGCCTGGTCTTCCTGGGCACATGTCTGGGTTGTGTCTAAGCCTTTGAATTTCTTTCTCTTTATTTTTCTAAATGGAACTGTCATCTATAAGATGTGGGACTTTTATCATTGCTATGATAAAGTGTGAAAGCTAAGAAGAGAAGGGACAACCAATTGTCCCTTCAGTCTTTTGACTCTCAGTCTTGTGGCCTTCCCACACATTTTCATTTTATTACTCATTTATTTTAGTTAGTTTCATCATGAAGCTAACTTCATGTGTGTTCATGCATGCACACACCACTGTAGTTCCCATAGACAATAACCCACACTCTGTGACCAAACTCTGGCTCCAGGAAACCCTCCACTCCTTGTACCCTGCCTGCCTGGTACAGTTTTTTTTTTTTTTTTTTTTTCCTGAACTGCACTTGGTTCAGCTAAGGTCGAGGGCCCATCATCGTTTTTGCAAGATCTCCACAGTTCCATTCCTTCCTCAGCCTAGGCAAGTTCCAAGTCTTCCCAGATTGTCCCAGTCACCCCAGAACCCTGGCCTCCACTTCAGGCTGCCATGTGGTCAGTTTGGCATTCATGCCCCATTCCTCCTCCTCCTCCTCCTCCTCCTCCTCCTCCTTCTTCCTCTCCTCCTTCAGGATTCTACTTCCTGTACTTTTAGTAGTCTTTGAAGGGAGCATCTCTGCTTTTATCTTTCATCTTCAACTTCTCTCCCAGTCTCCAAATTGACAAGTACCTTTCCCTAGGACAGGCTTCCACCGAGGTTGTCAGCTCTGATCAGCAGCTTCTAGAGTCATTGCTGAGCGTGGTCTAAGGATGGGGATAGGCTTTGCACCCTCATGCACAAAGGGAACTTTTCTTCTTGACAGTCAGTTCTCTGTTTATCTTTGAAACAACTCTTCCAGTTTTGCTTGCAACACCACTTACCATCTTTCTTGGTGCTCATTCCCCTACCCGGCCATCCACGGCGGGATTTCTACACCCTTAACCATCAGTTCCTTCTGTCTCATTCACACTCTTGTTTCTGACCATGCTCCAGCTGCAGCCTAGCAACTTTGAGGACTATGCTCAGGTTGGTCTACCCTCCTGAGCTCTGTAACTGCCCACTGACCTTTCACCCTCAGCATCTCTTTTGCTTCCTTAGGGTCCAGTTACTGCTTCTCTGCAATCCTGGTTAAG